CAAGAGACAAGCGAGATCATCGCTTGCTAATGATACATGCACCTGTGGAGATTAATTGGAGGATGCTTGCCCACAACTCGCACATCTGGTTTGCAGGAAGAAAGCCATCGGCAGTAGGAGTGTGACTTGAACAGACGATCACAGGTTTTGTTTTGCGAAACATTAACTATCGAATAAATAATATATCATAAAAGGTGATGATCGGATCGCAATCATACGAAGAAACAATTGGGTGGTCGGCTTGGCGGTGACGGGGCGGGGGTTCACACGTGCGGCATATTCTCAGCTTCGTCGAGCACGTGTACCACGGTTCGCGTGTATGATTGGAGATGACTGGGAAATAATTACGATATGTAAAGTGTTCTGTAGATTGTAATTTGTCTTTGGTGACAGCGAATCGTGTGCGTGCAGTATCCACGTATTTGCTTGTGACATATGTTTCTTGGATTCTAAGTAGATTTGTGTCGGAAAAATATTTATTATTAGATAGTGCTCTACTAACATGACATAAGCTAACGTCTCAGAACGGAGGGAACTCGATTGAGCTCCTTTCCTAATGTATCCACATACACACACACAGGTAGATGTGATACAATTCAAGTGACTCAAATTAACCAGAATTAATATATATTTAATTTAATTTTAATTTAATTTAAAATTTTAAGTTAATAAATTATGAATTAGGTTCCAACATATATCATTCAACTCTTTCGATATTTATGAATGTAAAATTATTCTTTTATTTTTATTTTTTTTCAATCTCTCATCGCACATATATATATATATATATATATATATATATATATATATTATATAATATAATATAAACCAACCAAAGAAGAGGTGCAGGTGCAGCTTAATCTTAACACTTCAGTATTTTCGACCCACAACAACCAATAGTATATGATGATAACTCAGAAGATTACAATAAAAGATATAGAAGATATCAAGCACCATCCAAATGAAATAGACTATCTAAGGATTACCATCTCAAAATAGACCCTTCCAGTTTTATTAGCCACCTTAGCATTAAAACTTTTCTTGACTAAGAGTTATGAAGTAGAAAACTTTTTCAAGATGATAGATGTTCTTTACCACAAACAAGTCAAGTTTCTTGCATATAAGTTGAAAGGAGATGCAGCAGTTTGATGGGATACATAACAAAAGAAGACAAAGAAAGATACTAATACAAACATGGTAAAAGATAAAACAACTTATTAAAGGAAGATTCCTATCTCAAACTATAAATAATTATTGTTTTAATAATATCAAAACTGCATTTAAGACACTCAGATCTATAACTGAATCTACTGATGAGTTATTACGCGTTTCAGTCATATATAGTTTATCAGAGTTAGAAGACAAGCAGACAATAAGGTACATCAAAGATATAATGCCTTTAACTTCAATATGAATAGTAGATGAAGCTCACAATATGACATTAAAGGCTGAAATATTATTGACTTGACCTCCAATTACTATCTGGCAATTCTCTACTATGACAACACGACCTATTCTTAAAAAAGAGAATCAAGTTGTGATTGAGTCAATACAACCTACAAATCAAGGTACAAATACAGGAGGAGCAACAAGACAAGCTAAGCATATCTCAACTACCATAAATAATCCATATACTCGAACCCTCGTTAGGAAATGTTTTAAATGTAAGGAGTCTGGTCATCGTTCCAATGAGTGTCGTACTCGTAAGACTGTCAACTTTGCATATTACAAAAATAATTTTGAAGAAGAAGAAGATGCCTAAGATAATACAAATAATGATATTGACAATACTAAAATAACAAAGGAAGGAAGAAGGAGAACACATCGCATATATTGTAAAAAGATTACTACTTACCCCAAGGTAAGAAGATTTATCTTAGTGTAAGAAAATCTTTCATTCTCGATACAGTATTAATAACAAAGTCTATATGTTAATCATAGACAATAAAAGTTATGACAACATTATATCCAAATCACTGATGAAGCACTTAAAATTATGAACGGATGCTCATCCAATACTATACAAGCTATGATGGATTAAACAAGGCCCAACTATCATTATAATTGAGATATATAAAGTTACTCTCTCAATTAGGAAAAACTACAAGAAAAAAGTTATATGTAAGGTGATTAATATGGATGTGTGTCATGTACTACTTGAAAGGCCATGCCAGTATGATATGAATGCAACCCACCTTAGAGTAAAGAATATATATATATATATATATATATATATATATATATATATATTCTAGTGAAATGAGAAAAATATTATCATTCTACAAACAAATAAAAAGAGAAATGAATCCAATACTATTAAAGTGGAGGGGAAGTCTTTCTTATCCATTTCTAACTTTACGTAGGAATTCATTGTCGGTTTTAAAAAAACAAGAGTATGCTATACTCTTATTGTGAAGGAAGAAGAATTACCTGAAGCAAAGATTTCAAAAGAGCTATGATCTATGTTAGAAGAATTCAAAGAGGTCACTCTTGAAGAATTACTAGATGAACTTCCACCCATGAGATATATTCAACACCAAATTGATTTAGTTCTAGAAGTAAGTCTATCAAATTTATCTCACTACTGGATGAACCCAAAAGAGAATGAGATATTGAGAGAGAAGATAGAAGAGTTAAGACGAAAGAGACATATTCAAGTAAGTATGAGCTCGTGTGTTGTTCCGATTTTGTTGACACTCAAGAAAGATAAAAGTTGGAGGATATGTATAGATAGTAGAGTCATCAACAAAATCATGGTCATGTATCGTTTTCCTATATCTCGACTAGAAGATATGTTGGATCAACTACAGGGCTCCAAGATATTCTCAAAGATTAATCTTCGTAGTGGATATCATTATAAGACTTAGAGAAGAATGAAGGATTACATTCAAGATAATAGAAGACTTATATGAATGATTAGTTATGCTATTTGGATTGTCTAATTGACCAAATACATTTATAAGGCTTATGAATCAAGTACTTAAATCATCCATAGTAAAATTTATAATAATATACTTTGATAATATTTTTATCTATAGTTGCAATAGGAAAGAAGTGTTTTGCAAGACAACTAAGTTATATGTGAATTTGAAGAAGTGTGGCTTTTTGACAAAACTATTAATATTCCTGGGTTCATTGTGAGTATTGATAGGATTCATGTAAATGAAGAAAAGATTCATGCTATTCGAGAATGGTCTATCCTTAACTGTCATAGAACTGAGGAGCTTTTATGGTCTTGCTACTTTCTATAAGAGATTCATTACGAAGTTTAGTAGTATTGTCACTTCTATTCTATTACTGACTATTTGAAAAAAAAAGAAGTTTCTTGACATTATTGAATTAAGCATGATTTCTTCTTGGCAGATTTATCAATCTTCTAGAGGTCATGGTCAGCGTATATCAACTCGTATATGTATGCTATGATTACGTGTATCGAGATGACCTCTGCTTCCTCTATATATCTTCCCACTGTTGTGTTCATGACGATGGAGTTTGGATACGTTGGAGACAAATAAGATGAGTTGATTCAATTCATTTTCAATGAAGAATTACTCGGTCATCATTCCATTGAGTTGAAGCAGCAAAACCTGCTTGCAAGAGAAGAGAAGAAGATGCGGCATATGACCAAAGGCACCTCTTCCGTGAATCTAAGGCCGTGGCCGTGTGGTCGGTATGGTTTGGTCCAACTAGCGATGTCTAGGACCGTCTTGGGGACGAAGCTTTCGCCTGGTCGGGTCGAGGTCGGATTTGGTGGGATACCCCTCTTCTGTGAGCCCGATCGCTTTTGTCGCTCCCACATGGGTCGAGATGAGAGGTGATCCCGACTTAGGCCCCTTCAAAACTCAAGTTAGTGGTATACTAATCTTTCATATGCCCCTTGTCAGATAGTTGTAAGGGATTTTTATCATAGCTCCTGGGGTCGATCGTACATTATCTTTACGTGGTAGTCGACCCCTTGAGCGATGAGTGTACCTTCGGGCATCCGCCGCCCTTGGATATGTGGGACGGCGTCATGCGATGCTATCCCGAGCTTCCTTCTTGTTGCAGCGATGCTAGTCGGCGCGACGCTAGATGACGCAAGAGGAGGATAACTGTTATCCCAGATTTCTGGTGGCGCCTCTAATGTGGCGTTGTCTTCCTCCCAAGATCCCCACACTTGGGTTGGCGTGGCGGGGATCGTATCGGTAATCCATAATATGCCCTACCAGCACCCACCAACCCCTATCGTATTTGTTGTCTATTGCATCAGTAATAATCATGCATTGGGTGCAGAATTGCTGGTAGAATACGTTCATAATTTTAAGAGAGAAATCGAATATTAAATGCATGTCGGACTGCAAAATCTCAACGTCACACATATTCGGTATGCATGGTGAGCTGCCTTCTTCGAGTTCAGGATTCGGAGTCTAAAATGTCACTTAATTTAGCCTAAATCAACATAAATCTGAGACAAGAAGAACATGAATCTCTTGTTTAGGGAACGTTTTAAGCATGATTTAGTCTTTAGATCTCAAGTATCCAATTTAATGTTGAAGATGGTAACAATTTGAGAGACAAGCCTAATGCTTGATGGAAGTTTAATTTAATGAGCATGATTCAAGCATGGGAGTTTAATTTATGAGAAGGCAAGAGATAGTAATCGAAGCCTGTTGGATCTACAAATACCTGAATACTCTAATGGCAGTTCTGACGCAGCTTCCGAGACTTGCACATCCTTACAAAGGTCTCTTTGGTCCTTGCAGTTGTCACAGAACAAGCAAATTCATCTCCCATGACAATCTTCTTTATCTTGTTCAGCAAAAGAACACATTGTCATGGACGTTCATGGAGGCAGGCATGAAGAAAGCAGGGATCAACAGTGGGATCTCCACCTCGCGGTCGCGGGGCCGGCAGCATGCTTGCGACCACCGCTTCAGGACGATACAGAGTCTAGACGAGCTCATCTGTCTGCAGTTTCTTTGTGGCAATTTGATTACACATCACAGTAGGATTAGAACACATGAAATCAAACAAATCATTAGAGTATCTGACGCTTACAGAACTGCCATTGTGGATGATAAACTACATTATGGTGTCCAATGCATTGTTATCTCAATTACCTGCATGTCGCCATGTACAACATGTGATATCAGATCTTGGGAGAGAAGGTGTGTGCAGGTGTTCTACTTTGATTCCCAGAAGATGATTTCACCCTGCTCCCCAACCAGTCCCAGATCCTTGAGCCTCCTCTCCTGATAATACTCCAAAACATCCAACTCGGACTCTCTCTCTCGGAAAGCATCGTCGATCTGCTGGAGAACTTTCTTCTCGCCGGCTCTTATACAAACTGCGATTCGAAGTCTTTCATCCAAATTATCCCCTTCCATAAGTTTTTCATCCTGTGCATTACATCTACAAGCTTAGTCATGAATATAATGATGGTTATTATGTAAAAAAACCAAAAAAGTAAATTAAAACACAGTAATCCAAAAGGAAACAAAAAAACTGTACCATAGTCGAATATACTACTCTTTTTTTTTGTTTCCTAGTTCTTTATGTTACTCAAGCTTAATCAGTCAATCATAGCATTCCTTAGTGTTGGTTTTGTTGAATGGTGCCTATCATGTGCCATAACTTTGGAATTACATGAATGCAGTTGACCTTTTTTCTTTTAGTTTGCAAAAGGTAAGTGGTGAGGGTGGGTATCTTACAACTGTTCCAACATATCATTATGATGTGATTGTTAAGAATTTACTGTGCTCTTGTAATTTTATTATATATTCAACAGGCGCCACATATAGGATGAATGTACAGTCCACAGAACGAGCTTAGTAGAAAAGATTTTTAAGTTATTTTAACAGTTCAAAGCTAAATAAATGCATACCTCTTCTACGGTAGTGTGGTAAGCAGAGAGAGCAGATTTGCAGGCCTGTCTGACGACACGGCAAATGGCTTCCTCATTGGCACGACTCACCGGCAATTCCAGATGACCCCAAATTGTATTTCTGAAAACCGATTCTAAGAGAAAAGCATCTGTTCCTCCAAGAGCTACCAACCGCAAATATGGAAGCATCAATGGGGGTAGTGGGCAACCTAGAGCTATATCAAAGTATGCAGTTTCATCTAAACCATTTGACTCTGCAATGTCTAGTTTGTCTCCATAAAATGGATCAGATTCACTAATCTCTAGAGTAAAAGTATATGCATCCCGATCTGGCCTCTGTTCAACAAAGCCATAATCAAGCGCCAAGTCAGCATTACTCTTCGCGATGTCGTAGTGGATATGCACCTGAGTATATTTATCATGATAAGCATGAGTTGGAAGGCTGGCTTGTATTAAGGCAAACACTTTGCTCAGATCCACATCCATCTTTCCCCGCATAGGAATCTCTATATGATAAAATTGAATACAGAGGTTATACAATGAATCTCACCTGCTCACCAGATTTCACATAGACTGGTGTTCGTAAAGAGAATATCAGTTCCCTAGAAAAGATGCCCTTTCCTTTAATCTCCCAACAAGAATCCACTTGAGTGATACTGGAACTGTGGTTAATCTGGGAGAGAAGAGCAAAAGATAATAAACTGAAACTCAAATGTCAAAATGGTAAGTACAATGAAGAAAGTGTAATATGATGATCATTACATGGCTGATTACTGCTTGTAAAACATAAACCAGGCCAGTTATAGCTAAAAAAGCTAAATTACACAAAATCTAGTTTTACATTTAGTTTATGTACTTTTTCTTCATAATTAGTTTAAGGTGGTATGAACATGCTTAAAGAGTTGTACAGATGCACTAGTGGTGCAAGGATAGACAGGAAGAAGACAAAGTACTTCACTAGAAACAACAAAAAGAAATCTGGTTGTTCTTTTGACCAGCAATACTGCCATTAACAGAGTCAATTGTGGGAAAACACATTGTAATCAAATTAGCTTAGCTGGGAGTTGGGACCATTCAAAATCACCAGGATGAGGATGTGGTCAAATACGTATTGTAGGTGTGAATGACATCATGGCAAAGCAGTCCAAGTTGTGATAACTGAATTGCATGGGGTACTAAAACAATAACTTCACAGAAAGATATTAGTTTAGTACTTGAACAACATGGATATTGAAGTAATAACGCCATGTGTAATTATATCAAAAGCGTAGTAGCAGTCTAGGAACCTCGCATAAGGAATCCACTTCATGCATTTATGATTATGATCAGCAGATTGGAATCTGGACAACAAAAATTTGGAACTGAAATTCCATGTATCATAAACCATGCACCGTAAATTAAGAGATTCAGCATTTCTATGTAATTAGTTCTACAAAGATAGATTATAAACCGAATCATAAAAAGTTATTCAAATTTATATATTCCTGTTTTGATGCTCCCAACCTTCTAGGCAAATATTGGCTTGATTGCAACCCTACTTGGCACTTGCTGCCATTATATTTTTACAATTATTGCTTCCTCAAATCCAGATTTGCATCAAGATTTATATCGCTACGGCATGTCAAGTGATTCAAACGGCATGTCTGCATGAAATAACCAATTAAAGGCTTGAAGATTTCTGCCAATCCTTTTATTTTCATTGAAGTTAATTGCAAGCTAATTCTATAAAAATCAAAAGTTCAGGAGTGATTTTATATTTCAGAATTCAAATTTAATGTGTTATGATAAATTAAGCAAGTCAACAGATATCTACATGCCATTGAATTAAAGGTCAAAATTCCATATCAACATTGTTGACAGACAACAAAGAACATACTTTTAAAGATCCACTACGTTCAGACAACAAAAAGAAGCCCATAATATTTGTGATAATAATTGAGCTCTATAACTTTCAGCAAGCAGTATTATACTACGAAGATCTTACAAGATCAGCCAATGGAACAAGAGCAAGATTTTCACCACGACCACGTGAAAAGGCCCTTGATCTGAGAATTCCGAAAGCCCACAGAAAATCAAGCGATGTTATAGCTGAAGGAAAGAGATGTTTGTTTGGAAGTATCACTTCCGCTTCTGCTTTGACAAATTCACTTTCCACATACTCTTTAGCACCCATTGTCGTGTTCAATAACTGAGTTCCTGCACAAATGCACACACAAATACAAACACCCACCATCTTAATATGAACCATCAAAGCTGATGGAAGTAAAGGGAAATCAGCATACATCACATGGGAATCATGGAAGCAGAAAGTAGAACAGAAGGCACAGATATACAATAAAATGTCTGGACTGCTGAAAGATTTTCTTAGGACATGCATTATAAAAGCCACATTTACTCAGAATCTTGTTCTGGTAACTCTTTGATGATCAAAACATTTATATAGCTAGCCTTTATTCACGTGGTATGTGTTTCATAATCCACAAGCTCTCTTCAGCTATTTTGTATTCTGCACAATTCTTCTGTCCTACTTCATTATACAATCCATACCAGCCCTCTACCTCACCATACGGTAATGGCAGAATACAGTATTCAGTAAACCAACTACCGTTAGAATCCTTGGCTGAAACTAAAGGGCATCAGTGTATGATTGAATGGCACTGTAAGTCAAAAGATCAAGAAGGTCACTGAAGGTCTGGACACACTAATTTTTACCCATGTGAGACTACTATTCTCAGGTAACTTCCAGCATAAAACATTTACCTCACCTGCAAAGTATCAACGTATGCACCCAAACAAAGATAAATACAAACAGATGCCGGAAACAACAAATATTGCTTTAAGAAGAATGATTCATCTTACCTTCTATTTCAGAAAGCTCCTCTTCTGACCTGCACCGGAAACATCAAATGCTGCTTAATAATTCGATTGTACAAGAAAAAAGAATCTTGCTTTGAGGAATTTCACAGAGCGGTCGGGTGGGATTAATTATGTGAAGCAAAGCCAAAATCGATGATTTGTCGGAACGGATTCTCGCACTTACCAGAAGATAGTGGAATTGGTAGTGGGCGGAAGAATGTCGAGATAGGGGTGCCAGGGAGAGGCCGTGCCCAGGGCCCTCTCCCGTAGGAGAAAGAGGGCGATGGAGACCCAGGGCTTGAGGCCGGCGCACAGCCTCCCGATCTCGGAGGCGACTGCCGTGTCGGAGTCGATCCAGAGCCTCTTGGGGACCTCCACCACCACCTCGTTGCGGGGGAGGTCCCTCTGGGCCACGAGGCCCAGGCCCTCCGGCACGAAGCCCGGCTTAACGGTCGCGGCGGACGAGGCGGCGACCGCTCCCCGCTCACAAAGCCACCGCCAGAAGTCATCGACGGCGGCCTCCGACGGGGGGGCGCGCTGCGCTGCGGCAGTGCTGATCCTTCTACAGCCGATGTTGAGGACAGGTAGGGGCGACGGCTTGCAGTTGGCGAGGAGGAGGGACGACGAGGTCGGGTAGACGAGGTGGAGAAGAAGACGGGGCACAGCCATCTACTGCAAGAACGGAGTGCAACGAGAGGGAGTCGCAGCAGCAGCAAAGAAGCGCGGGTTAAGAAGGTGAAGTCCGACCAACCATTAGCTACAAACCCAACGGATAGATATGAGCAACAACTTAACCCCTTGCGTCATCCACTTATCATTTTCCTCTAATTCCATAATTTTTTTATATTTAAAATAAAGAAGTTTATTCATGGAAGCATCGCTATACTATGATTAAGGCTATAATTTATGCAAAGTGAATTATTTATAATTGCACGTTAAAGCCTTTTTGCACGTACAATTTGCATAGAAACATTAATTCATCAGCCTCCACATAGGCTATAAATATCGGGGAAAAAGTGAACTCATTTTTTAGATTTCTACAAAGCAAGAATGATAATATGACCGTCAAATTGGTCGGAAAATGAAAAATCACATATACCACTCGATCAGGGATCAAATACTTATAACAAAATGAACTCATTATTTAGCATGAGTTAAACTTACAAAAAAGTTGTACAACTATTTATATGAATAATAGACGCAAAGATCAAAATTTTCAGACTCATTGGGTTCGCTTATTTTGCCATCATGTGCAGTAATAAAACAAGCCAACCAAAACACAGTACTTTTCATCATATAATGACAAAATATGAATGTTTTTCGTAGAATTCAACAGTCGGTTCAACCAACACTTGAATGTCACAAGTGATGAGACTGTACCTGCTCCTCTCCTCTTCTAAGTGCTTTAAGTTCATCACCAAAGCATTCTTTCTTAACCATGGAACAACCAGCAAATTTCTTCCTCAAAGCAGTTTCACATAACAGACCAAACTAGGATTTACTCGCAGACTCTTCTGCATAGTTTACATATCTCCAAACTCCATGCAGTAGCAGTCTTGCTTCATCTAAATCCTCGAGAGTTGATTAACAGATGATACCAGTTCCTCCCATCTGAAGCAGCTGTTCTACACCAAAACTTTTAATTTTTCCTCCCTTCACAAAGAATGATGTGGTAACCATGCCTGCATTATTTCCGATATATGATTATAAGCACAAGCAAGTAAATACAACTTAAAACATGAGCATATTTTTCGGTAACCATTTCCAAATCACAAAGACTAACAGCATCCAAACTAAATATATCGAACTTCTAGCACAATAAACATGTAGAGGGTTGGGTGATGAAATATGCAAAGAATAGTTTTATTGACACATGTTGATTTAAATGTTGCACTAGTAACTCCAGTAGGTGTACTAAATGCGCCATCCTGAAAAGGATCAGCCATTTTTCCCCTCGGAAACCATCCAAGGTCTCCGCCTTCCTTTCCTGATGGACACTCGGAATATTTTGCTGCCACCTGAGACAGACAGCCAGCACAAGGCAAGGGAAAACTAATTTCTTCCACATATAACTCACCCAAAAAAAACAGATAAATCTTCTAAAGACCTATAATTTAATGCAGGTTCAAGGTTGAAGTTCAAGAAAATTAAACTGCAAGATCAATCATTCCCTAAAAGTGCAAGTCAACATGAAGAAAATACATACTTCAACATAACAGTACCTAAAAAGTGAAAGTGAAAATGAAAATAAAAGAACAATAAACCCACTAAAAAAGGAAAAGAAAAGCAGAACTCTGAGCACATGTTGTAGGGAATCATAAAATAAGGATCTAGATTGTATCACAATGCTATACCAATCATCATGCGCATAGCTAAACTCACAAGATTCTGAAACAATCTCAGTGGACAGAACAGAGAACCTACCTTTGCAAATTCAGCAGGGGGAACCTTGTCTCCATTGCTTAGCCAGCCATCTTGGAGCTTCTTGTATGCTTCATTAATCTTGCCTTGTTTTTCACATAATATGTGCCTTGCTGAAACACAATCAATGGTTTAATTTAGCATATATAATCTCTGTGGACACTCCTTGGTACATGAAATGAAATTCAATGGCTAAACCTGTCACCAATTTGGACACAACAGGTATCTAGTTCATTGTTAAGCATATACAGTTAGAATATGATGCAAAGATAGGAAGAATTAACCTATTCCATTAATTTCAGAGCACATGAGACCATCTTTGGTGCCCCAAGATTTCACCCTATCAAGTAGCTAGCTTCCTTGAATGTGCTTCAATCAAATAAGACTAGAATTAGTCAAATTCAATCAGGAATTCAAGAAATGGATGACAAAGGTGAGAAGCAATTCTGCACCTTCTTAAATTTCATAATATTAGGATCAGCTTTGGGATTGATAACACAATCTAGAATCTAAACCAGTCTCAATTTATTGGATCAGCTAAACCAGATCGTGGGATTGTTTATTGATTTTCCTTTTCCTTTCTTTTAGATGGTCGGATTTTTGCCAAATCTTTTCAGCAAGCTGTTGGGAGTTGGTGGAAAATTGGCCAAGATTGGTGCAGAACAGAATGAGTCATTCTGGCTTCCTGTACCTAGCCTGATACACAAAATCAATCAGAATTTAGACAGAACCAACTCAGGATTAGCTGGTTTCAGGTTATCCTGATTGTTTCTAAATGAAATTAGTCTGACCCAATCAGGATCGATCGAGTCGAACAGAAATAAGCTGTCTTGTTAATCCATGAATGGGGACAGGGCATTTGCAAATAGATAGTGCAATCTATTGGTGCCTTGAAGTAATCTGCATGACATTATCTGAAAGGTACTAGGCTTAATAATATCATAATTTTGAATGAATCAAACACTAAAATCAACTGATTGCGAAGGAATCTATGATCAAGGGAAACCGTGATCACAAGAGATGACACAACCTTTACCATAAGTGCAGGTACCAAGCCCATCACTTGACTTGCCACCCTTCCCTTTGCCCTTGGGAGGCATTATCATCAGTTGCAGAGCAAGCTGCCTGCTTTCCCTTCCCCTTACCACCTGATTCCTTGGGTTTCGAGTCCCTCCCCATTAGCTGCCAATGCTATACAGCAAAGAGGAAACACAACTACCCTCTTAGATGAAATGGAAGGTGCAGGAACAAGCGAGTCGTAACTGTTCGCAATGTAAATCCGCAGCCAAAGCAAATCCGATCCAAGCAAGATCAGCCCCAAGAACAACAAGAATCAAAGGTGGCGGAAAAAGGCCAAGAAAATTACAGAAAACGGTGTCCAACCCACTCGGGGAGTTCGAACAAAGAAATCAGATCTCCGAACAAAAGGGGATAAGTAATCAAAACACCGTGCCATGGGGCATCATCAACGGTGAACAAAGTGGAATGCAAGATCAGCACCAAGAACAACAAGAATCCAAGGCGACGGCGAAACAACCAAGAAGAATCACATAAAGCAAGATCAAACGCAAACAAGGGAAGAAAAGGACGAATCTACGGCCAACCCAAGAACCTATGAGACGAATCCGCGGCAGATTGAAGCCTTACCTCGATAGCG